AAGCAGCATTGACTTTAAAATTAGCCCTCCATGTTAAGATCTTGATAACTAAAAGTCACTCGATTACAACTCCTCAACGATAACCAAGAGTCTCTCAATGAGAATAACCTTGAGCACAAGAACCTTTATTACAAAACGTGATTTAAAAAAGTTCCTCGAAAACAACCGTCGATAAAAAGAAAATTTGATTACAAGACCCTTGACAACAAAAACTTGAGTGGTTATAGTACTTGCCTAACAATCAAAAGGTCGCTGGTTCGATTTTAAGAAAAGTCAGTTGCTTTTTGTTTGTTCGAAACCAGACTTAGCTGTTCCTGATCATTGGGCTTTGAATAAATTAATGAAACAGCTGATCTTAGTCAGTAACAAAACTGCACAGATCATCTCACAACATTCTACACTCATCCTTCATTCATATTTGGGTAAAAAACGCACTAGATGGCGTCTCCATCTCAAACAAAATTCGTAATAAGAGGCTAATTGATAATTGAACATTGATTACAAAAAGTCCCTCGATAAAATAACCGTGTATAAAAAGACGTTGTGTAATAAGGGACCCTTGATATGGAACGTGTTGATATAAAGAGTACCTCAGTAACAAGACTCTTGATGACCAAGAGGTTCTTCTCGATAAAAAATATCCTTGATAGAGTGAATCGATTGCAAGGCCCTAGAAATCAACTAACCTGTCCGTAGTAAAAAAATAATTAAAATTTAAAATTGTTTTGGATAAAAACTCAATAAAGCAGCTAATAATTCACTTAGTCATTAGGTTTGGTTGGAGCGATAGTCAATGAGGGTATTTAGATATATATATAGATTTCCCAAGCAAAATGCACAGTTATGCACTGTACAGAATTTAAAATGTTTAACTTCGTAAAGAATGAAATCTTAATAAACTAGCAAACCAACTCACCGTTCGGGAGTTTCTTGACCTCTTGGCGAGCACCCAGAGCGCCGTGCCATGGTCCACCCGCGCCTCTCAAGTAACCACAGAAATAAGTTAAGAGTTTTTCCCTTACCATGATAGTTTGAAAGACGAATGATAGAGTAAATCATGTTTATATTAAACCCAGGACTACTAACATAAACCACTATATTTAATGGTATGCATTTACAATTTCAGTTTTCGTCAGTACAATGTTTTACAGTTTTGCTTATGACTGATATAAATTTCTATCTTTCATATAAGAGTCTCAAACGTGATACGTTGTATTTTTCTGTTCTGTTTCAACATGTAACTTCTTTACATTGTTTAAACATCGTAATCTTCTTATAAAACAACACAAACCTTCTATTCCATTTCTTCCGCAATCATTTGTATTTTCCCCTTCCCGCTATTACGATCTCAAAACGTAGGAAAAACAACGATCACGATCCTTGTGAAACATACAACATGCCCGAATTCTTGTGTTATATATTGTTAAGGGGTATAAACTATGTACTGTATCGATTGATTCAATCGGCTGTAGCTTATTGTCGCATTCATGTCAATAGTTCGACATATCGATAGCACAATGCAAACAATCTTAAAAGGCGAAATGATAGATTGAATCAATTAACTCAGCAGCTATTTGTTTGCATTAAAAAATATAAACAAGCTTGGAGTTATCTTGAGAGGTGATATTTACATGAAACGATGAAACGTATTTTCGTTCTCTTAACTTAGTTTGTTAAACAATTCTGCAAAAATTCGAAAAATATAGTTCATTACACGGTAAAAAGTGTTTTTCCAACCCTCGCCTATTTTCCGTGAAAATTGAGGTCGTGTCGAAAAGAATCGCTGTTCACTTTTAGCGAAATACTTGCTGTAACCCGCGGGCTTTCCCCCGTTTAACTTCTTCATTTTCAAGATGATCTCGTTCGCATGGCTCAATCACGTCCTGACGTCCTGGTTGAGTTAGCCTTGGTAGCCTGATAGCCTTGGTTTAGGTTAGAGTTCGTTCGCTACGCTCACTCACTTTTAGGTTAGAGCTCGTTCGCTTCGCTCACTTGCCTTCAGGTTAGCTCGTTCGCTACGCTAACTCGCCTCCAGGTTGAAGTTCGTTCGCTACGCTCACTCACCTTTTGGTTGCAAATTAGCTGTTGTCATAAATATGTAAAAGAAATAATAGTGCTGCACCTTGAAACAGCTGTTAAGATTCATTAATTCCATTTAAATATGAGTACTCACAAGGTTAACATGGGAAACTCCAGAGCCACTGGGGCGGAGCCCTGAGGTCGGAGGGTAAAATCCATTTTTAGTGAGCGTCTACTACCCAAAAGGAAGATGCCTGCCAAATCAGGTTCCTAGGTCTTATGGTTTCTGAGTTTTCCTGATGAGTGAGTGAGTCAGTCAGTGGTATTTGAGCTTTATATTTATATAGATATTCACTTTTCGCTTATACTGATGAAATATGCTTTCACCTTGTGTCACTAGACAGGTCAGCTGATCTGAGTTTTTGCTGGTCGACCAGCTGTAGCGCTGTAGCGGCTCTGGGCAGGCTTTTAGACACCTATTGCTACTCTTTGTCGGCAGGCGTGCCTTTATAGCCGTTGTAAATACCTCGCTCCACTCCCCTCCGGGTTTTATTACTCTGTGCTGCTCGCCGGCATCGGCTACACGGTTCAGCGGGAAACCCAAAGATGCACTATGTTATTGTTGCCATGCAACCTCTATGTTCTCCATCCGCGGCAACGAAGTAACGTTAAACTTTGCGTGTACAGTATTATCAATGGGCGTGTTTAACCCCAAATATGATTTGAAAGATGTGTATATAGAGTTAGATGACTTATGTTTGTTACTAAGACAAGCAGCTAATTCAGCCAGGATAACTTTGTTAAAGCTCAATAAGTGCGACCGCATGTGGTGTACTACCACAATCACTTGGCTACCCAGACAATGAAAGATAAGTAAGGACATTGAAAATATATTGTGAGACGAATTGAACATATACAAAAATTAACCCGGCAAGACATCGAGCAGAAAAATATTAAAATCAAATTTATAATCGTCTATGTCTGATCACAGAGAAGTGGATCGACGAACAAAAACGTCCAAGCGTCCAAGCCATTTTCCATAAATCCTATATCATGTTGAAACATAACTTAACCAATCCACAAATCATTTTAGAAAAATAAAGCATAAAATAAATCATAAATCTGTTTTAAATTACAAAACGACCCTAAGGCAGACGAGTCGAGCGGAGAAAGCAAAAGTTTCGACTCGAAATTGGGGTCGGAGGTTCTAGGAAGGTGGTTGCGTACGTGAGTGTGTGTGTGTGTCTGTGTGCATATGTGTGGGTGTAGTAGTGGGAGAGAGAGACAGGTAAACGCTTTCAAATGAGCCGCCGCGCCGTCGAATCCCGGAAACATCTGAGATTGTATCACCACAACAGCTGATCATGTGCACAGCTGATTGCATACATAGAGTATTCCTTTCCGCTTCCGGCCACCACGCATGGAGTAATAATTACTACGCTCAACGATGCACCGGTGGGTTTCGCAACTAGTTCCACATGGATGATAAACCATGCATGGTTTCGAGTGTTTCTCTTGCCTTACCGAACGGTAACGTGCGTTGAGACATACGAAAACTCATTAACTTATTTTAGTAAGTTCTTCTTCAAATGTAATATCAAGTCCTTCACTAAAAGCATTTTTTTAGAAACGTAATGAGCTCACTTTCAATTTTATACAAGGGGTTTATTAATTGTAGATAACAAATTTCCTATCAAATTTAATGAAGGTTGACTGAATGGATAGAATGTTGAACATAAAAATGGACCATAAATTCTAATCACAAAGCTATGCAATTAGGTAAGTATGTGTAGTTAATTTACTATGGATCAACATTTTGGTCATTTTAGAGAAGTACGTTGAGTAGGCTATTATTTAACAATAGGTACTAATATTGAATTTATTATAAAATTGTAGATTAGAAGATTAATAAACAGTTTAGCCTTTACAAGAGAAGTATTATTTATTTTTTATCTTAAGTCACTGATAAGAACAACTAGGCCTATACATATATAATGTCTTAATCCATGTTGTAAAGATATTGTCCACGATGTAAAAATGTAGTTTAAGCTAATCAGTGCATTGATTATTCCCTTCTACAGTACTGAACTAGTCAAAAGCTACGTAATTACCTTCATAGCTAGGTTATCTACTGTAGTTTAAAATAACTTCAAAGAAATAGCTAGAGATATGTTGTTTTAATGCAAAACTTTACCTTTACAGAAGTATATGTTAAGGCATAGATTAAACGAGGTGTAACTGTTTTTCCATTGGCTCTTTTGGCAATTGAATTCGTAAACTTACTGTCATTGTCATTATTAATGTCAACTATCCGCTTGGCAAATAAATAAATTACAAAATAAAAAGAGGTAGGGAAAATCACTGATCACGATAGCAAAAAGTGTGACTTCATGTATTTCTTACCAGATTCATCATTGACTATATAAGTCAATGATAACAATCCTTCAAACAAATCTCCTGAAGTTAGCAATCTAACTCAAAATAGGAATCAATTCAAATCTCGACTATAATAAACCGCCTTTTGGTGTCCACAGTTCTGAATTAAATCGACGGCTTCATTAAGAACTGATGGGTAATCTTTGACGCAAAAATCGTATCCTACTGTGAGAAACGGGAAATCATTAATGATGGACCATTACCAATACAAACATGACTAGCCAAAAAACCAACTAGGCTACTGTACAAGAGTCGAAAATGTGATATTCATGTACATGGTACATGTTTGATGTGAGTACAATATACTGTACGAAGACTTTTTTTAGGTGTAGATATTGACCTCAGTTTGAGATCTTACCAAAGTTCTGAACAGTACTTAGTTGATAGATCACAATGAGCTTATGGTAAAATACCAGACAAATCGTGAAAAACGTTTGGCTACTATCATTGACATCGTGTAAAACACATTTTAAACGCGCCAAAGTTAATACTGCAAAGTTGTTTATATGCTACAATTATTACTAAAATTTCACAAATTTACTCACCCCTCTCTCCGCCTGCAGCTGATCCTCGTGTCCGACGAAATTAGGCATAACTGTCAGATTATACCCAAGCTCCTGGCACATAGGTATGGTGATTTTCTCGCACCTGTCTGCCTCCCCATAGCACCACAGGGCACACAACACTATCACTAGACTTCGCCCCATGCCGGCCCGATCATCACTGACTGCTCTCCGCTCTGCCACTCTCTCCGCGCTCCTTCGACCATGACGGAATGTACCTCCCCTCGATCCTTTGACAACGCCGCCGAGAGAGACGGCAAATGAGCGCATTAGATCCACCGCTGCAGTTTTTATTAGCTCTGCGACAATGATGGCAAATGAACCGGCTTAAAGCTGTCGATATGGATGGAAGGACTCGGTTGAGTAGGAATCATTCGGTGACGATTTTCAGTTGTTATGCCCGTGTCACGGGGAGAGAACACCGAAAGATATGGAGATTCTTCACCGCTTTGTTCAACGCAAATTGCTCGTTGATTAAGCTCTTGTTCTTGGTGTAAATTAATTTTATAATAATTTTAAAATAATCTAAAGATGCATTTTTTCCAGTTGGAACACAAAAGGCTCCGTCCAAACTCTATAGTCTTGTGTTGAATACATAACATTTGTCTGCAACATCAAACAAATAATTGTGTTTTTCAAATATACTGAACTAATAAGTAAACAATTGAAACATAATTCAAAGGCTTGAAAACTACTATACAACATTATAAAAATATAAAAAACCAATGTTATAATCAAAAAAGGTTAACACAAGGAAAAGTAAACAAACAAACTAAAACAAAAACGAATCTAACAGCTGATGTATCTTCAATAATTTAAATGGGATTTAATACAGCCCTTTGATTGAGGTTCCTGCCCTTAGGAGAGGGTTTATCGAAGAACTGATATTTTTCAGGATAGTTTCACGTTAAGACCTTTAATTCAAGTATGCGGTTGATAAGATTCCTTGTTGGCTTTTTATAGACGAGCTTTTTTCTATTAGTGTAGCCTACTGGAATTTGCATAAGCATCTATTTCTTTTTTCGTTGAATGATCAAATTAAGTTCATTTTAGGGTTTGTTTCCATTTATCATTACTGTTTTATAACATGTCGTAACATATATTAGTCCTTAAGTAGTAGAGAGTTACATAATAAACATCACTACTTGTACATCCGTTATTAGTTATTTAAATTACGAACACGCATCACAAAAATGAATGATTCTTCTCTTCTTACTCCGATTCGCAAAATTATAATATCTTCCTAAATTGTAAAAGGAAAATTTAATAAATATCTAAATGTAATTGAATATTGGCTCATTCCATTGACTATAACCCCTTTACACTGGTTCAGTTAATGCAGTGACTTTGCCCGTTTGTATCCCATACTAAATAGCGTTATTAGAAGAGGAAAACTAAACTGGAAAAATGAAAAATGTGTATTCACAAAGTCATAAGCTCCTCGTGAAAAATGGATGTCTTACCTTATTACAGCACCAAAAAAAGCGAAATCTTTGACAAAACAAATGAAGGTTACACAATCCACAGATTCAATCTGAAAGTTAATTAAATGTGAACACTCTCCATTATTTTCCAGGGAAAGTTTGCATTATATCGCCCAGACACAATGAAGTGTGGGCTGCATGCAAACTTAGAAAGCCTACAATTAGTGAAACAAGAAGACCATTGCTCTGCGACTGGCAAGGTGGGCTCAGTGATGGGAATTTGTACTTTGTTGAAACTTGTTGCAACTCAGTCACGCACGGGGACAAACTTTCCACAAGGGTTTCAACTGGGAAACTCTCATTATTGAAAAGTGAATGTTGACATTCGCACAGTTAATGATAAATAAAATTAACAACCACACGTTAGCGGGGTTTATAATTATTTTCGCACATCCAGAAGTTGAATTGAGATTGATACACATTCATATTACCGATTGAGATGAGAAAGAATATGTGAATATTATTACCCAAATATGAGCGTAGAATGAAGTGGGATGCCTTTCAGTCTGGGCAAATTATTAAAATCGTAATAATCAAAGAACTAATCTAATGTATTTGAATTGCGCCTTTTAAAATGTGTCTAAGTTTCTTGGAAAGAAAAAGCATGTATCTTGCACGCATAGAAGTAAAATACGTCGAATTTAAACTCTTGGTTCAAATTTATCCTCACACGACACAAACCAATCACGAACACGCTTACAAAAGCATGCAAGTTTCATCACTGTATAAAAGAACATCGCCACTAATTTTATAAATAATTTAATTGTGTCAGGTAAAAAATGAATTTTTTAGAATTACAGAAAATTGCTTTCGTATTTTGTTTTATCACGCAAACCTTGGGCTTTGGCTAAAATATAACAAAACGCACTTAACCCTATGCCTCATAAAAATTCACCGCACTGCTGTTTCATTTCAAATTAACACAAAATTCGTTGCTCTATAGACTCATTTTTATATTTACTTATTTAATTGGACCTGTTTTAAAGATCACATTGTTCAAATATCCACAACATAAAAAGTACAACGGAAAGTTTTGTACACATGTTTAAAAGTGCGTACTTAGAGTACTGTACCAAGCAACCCAACCACACATTGCGCCGCTATAAACCAAGTATGAAACATTGTTCATTCGTTGATTATTATTTAAATGACTCGAACACAGAGAACAGATTAATCGACGATGTCTCATGTATTAGTCATTACATAGAGTAATAAACGTAAATCACTAGCGGCCGCCTCCGGCCCGCGTTCTTGTTCTTCTTTTTATACTCTATTGATTCATGTCTCATGCTACGCTAATGGTACACTTCTTTTACTTATTGCTAGCTGTAAAATGGGCTTGGTTAGTAATTCCTGGTAATTCAGTGAATTGGTAATTATTGATCAATTGATTGACCAGGTTTACATGGATGATCCCTGAACAAGAAATAAATGTTTTAGTGACCATTTGCAGCGTCAAGGGCAAGTGAGTTAAATTGTAAATGTAAAATGTCTGTTGTTGAGCTCGCAAACCAGCATGACCGGACAATGAGAACAGGTGTTTATAGAGGGTTGCTTAGTCTTATTGTTACAGCTGGTAATCTTATTGTTGTTATTACATTAATGTTACTACCAATAACAATTGTTTTCTATTACTCCTGTAACTTACTTATAAGGTAAATACTTAATCTGTTTAATCACAAGGATATCGAATAAAGCATATTTAATAACAAACAATCACCAATACATTTGCATGTCTACTCATTTAATCTATCCGACCGAAATGGCAGGTGAAAAGGAGTTCTGTACCAAATAGGCAGTAACCAAGATAAAATAACGTTAAGTCGTACGGTTTATACTTTGCCGCAAATCAGGATTCCAACGAAACAACACAAAACAGCGTGGTTCGACTCGGGATCGACTATTATACACGTAATCCGTGTACGCTTGGAAATAGGTTGGCAACACTTAAAGATAATAATACTATGAGCTGATTGACTATTATAACTACGATTTAACCTGTCATTTCGTGTTTATAGTTTCGGCATTTCTTAACTTTCTAGACTTTTCTTTTAAACGTTTTTAAAACATTCCTACGGTCTTAATAAACAAGAAAATACCTTTAAAGCATTTTTTTTTATGCGCGGAAACCACTTCAAATTACAATAATCATACGGAACAATATTCTCAAAACGCGGAGCACATTTTCTTGCCGAGGAAAAATAGCGGAGTGATACGGACCGCGGGTACTACTTTCTCTATGGCACCATTTGTGTTGCCAGCTGAACCTAAAAACGTGTTGTATAGTGTTTGAAAGACTAATTATTTATATGATTTATAGTGACTGTAGGAAAAATATAATGTGTAGGCCCTAACACGAGTGAAAAAGGCCTTTGCTGCACTCGAGATCATTCCGATCATTGTAAACATTGGTCTCGTGTGCAGCAAAGTGCCACTTTCACCACTAGTTACACAAATAACTATTGTATAAAAATTAAAAACAATAAAACTATGCATTAGTCTCATTTTTTACCCGCACAGTAAAATTTGTTACTGAATGAATGAACGGATACTAATTTATATATATGTGACCCAATATAAGGTATACTATAGTTTCAGGCGCGGCAGTGTCTGCAGCCTTCTTTGCTACAATAACAGGGCATCGTTCTTCGTTCTACTATAACAAAGTTCTCTCAAACTCAGGAACTCTCATGAATTCCTTTCTTGTTTCTTCTCCATAGCAATAAATGTAAGGTGGAACCTTGTAAATCGATGAGAACTCAAACTCAAAATTCTGCCTCACGATCTAAACACTTTGACCCGTCCGGTCTAATGGGTCTAACACGTCCCAACATGGTAACTTCCAAAGTTACGCTTCATCACATTGCACATGCATGGTACAGTATAATTTAATTTTCCAGTAAATGACTAATATTGCGTCGAGGGACTGTACACATGCCCTCCGACTGTACCGGTCCAGCGCCGGCCTATAATTACCCTACCATTAGCTCACCTCTACCCCCTAATTTTCGCAGCTCATTGTTGCCCCTCTCACTCTCCCTCACCTCCCCCCTACTTTATTATCGTCGGTGGACCGAGTTCATCATTATTATTACTGCCTCGGAGATTGCCCTTCACGGCTTCGGTTCAAGTTCTTTGTCTGGAGCTCCACCTTGTGTATTAACATCATTATTAGCATATGGGAATATGAAAAAGCACATTTAGTTTGTTATAGTGTTTGAGGAACAAATACTAATTGGACTTGTATAATTTGTATTACTTACACGATTTTTTGTAAAATTTCTTCGGAAATTATGTTACACAGGAATAGGCAAAGGATGAACTTGGACAGCTATTTTCAAGAAATATCAAACATCATTGGATGAGATTCTTCCTTCAAGTTGAACGTTGCGTTGTCGTCTGCAGACAGTATTTGGTGGTATTTGGCAGTGTTACAACTGTATGAAGGGGAGGACAACTCTCTGTTACCCGAAACGACATTAAATATGCAAAGGAAGTATTGGAGTACTGTTGAAAATAGGTATCACATAGCTTTGCAACAACTATTCTTTTGTGAATGTCTTTCTTTCTCAATGTGGAAAACACAGTAATAAAATTCTCAACATTTATAACCCATTGAAATAGAAATAGTGTTTTATGTTTTTGAACTAAGGCGCGGTTGATTTTTTCCGTGGTTATTATTTAG